CCCCCCCCCCCCCCCCTTACTTTTTAATATTTTATTTTTAAAAAATGGAATAAAACCATAAATATTTAAAAGCTATATATAAAACTATTAATTTAACTAAAAACTTAATATAAAAAAAAAACATTAAAATTAGAAATGTTGTCTTGGCAGCTAACTAAAATAAGTTGAAGTACTAAAATGACTGAAACTGACATAAAAAAAAAAGATTGCACATTACAAAATTGCACATTACAAAATTGCTAAAACTAAAATTTAAATAAAAACTGAAAATCTATAAAATAATAGCTCATTCAAAATATGAATAATATGAATTATCCTAAAATAACGCTGATGACAAATGTTTACATTTTGGGTAAACTATCCTGTTCTTTAACTTATAGATAAATCTTTTAAAATTTGACAAGCATATTTATGTTGCTATATGGTTATATGTTTTGCATTCACATTTTAGCATGATGGTGACCCATCATTTAACCAGCATGGAAAGAATTAAACTATATTATCCTCACTCTACATGGATTTTTCTGTGAGAGTTGCATGCTTATTCAATGTGGTAACTGTTGGCACAACTGGAAGAAGAGATCCAGCCATGTCGTAATTGTTCTGAGAGCTGCGCTGTGCCTCTCAGACTCTCCGTGCAGGTTAAGTGACTGTCTTGGCCGCTGCCATAATTCCTTGGTGAGCGAGCAGTGGTGTGAAACAGAATGATGTTGATTGTTCCCCAGGTCGCTCCATCATGCGTGTGCATTCCCTAGGCTTATGTCTGTGCTATTGTGCCACACTTTACTCCAGATGCCAGTCATGTCACATCTAGCCTCTTCCCAGGCAGAGAAATTAGGAGTGGCACCATGCCACCACACATTCAAATAGTACTGCTGAACCTGAGGCAGTATGGCAGCAAAGCAAAAGGGTGTTACATAACATAATTTACCTATTATATAGTACACTACAAGTGCTTGAAATGATTGTGTGTGTATGCGTTCTTGCTATTCATTAAATTACAATTGTATACACTTTATCCAAAGCAGCCTACAGTGCTTTTAAGGTATGGATACATTTGTACGCTCCATGTCAAGTACCAGAACACAGCAACCTTAAAATTAGCATTGATAAAGAACATTACAGGAATAAAAATCCATCTAAAGCACAATTAGAGACAAGAAATGTACCTCAATTAGAGTGGTTCCCTTTCGAACGGTCTCTCCCATTGCATTGACACGCTTATGGGGAAACCCCTGTTTATTCTGATACTGAAGCCTGATTTGTTTATGTTCATGAAGCTGCACAAACAATGACGCTTCAACGCACCAAAAAGTGAAAAGCTGACCTCTATATAATTCGGCTTTAAGCGCCATTTCATCATAATTTTTCTCCTTCAGTGAGAAAGATCACATCCTTGCTGACTCTGCAAGCAAGAAGCCAAAGAAGGAAGAAGCTCAGCTCAGCCTGCTGCTCGCTGCTGTAGAAGGATCCCCCTGCAGCGGAAGAAGCCAGAAGCCTTCCCCTGAAGACATCTGGCACATCTAAGAGCAAATTTCTGAGCAAGTTTCCAACGACGTTGCTGCAAATGTTGCGCCGCGAGTGTGGCTCGTGCAGGGAGCCCCTGCACAATGCAGATGGGCACAGTGAGTGAGTTGCCTGTCTGGCTGCGCTCACTGAGACATCATGCTCTCACCTTTCTCCACTCTCACGGATCGCCTTCTTTAATGAAGGCAGCCCTCCCTGCTCTGCTCTCCCGTTTCCTCTCTCCCCTAGGAGAAAGAAACCGCAAAGCAGTTGGGCTTTAACACCAGGCTCGAGTGAACTCACGCTGACACAGTTCCCGCATGCTTCACTCTCCCCCCAATGCCTCGATTCGCTTGTGTGCTTCACAGGTGAGGATCAGTGCCTCTCGTCGTCTGTGAGCGACTTGATTTCCTTCTGCGCATCTGAGGAGGAAGCCGTCATTGATAACGCCATGTCATTAATAGCTTTGGATGTTCCGGCAAAGAGACCAAAACCCAGCCTCTGACCCTCAGAAGCCGTCCAGATCCGAATGCAGAGAGGAAGAGGAGAGGGTCAGTTTTCGCTGAGGCCGGAACTCCCTCCAAGAAAGCTTGCGCTCTCTCTCCATCCCTCCACTTAACACTGAGAGATGGAAGCTCCATTCAAGCTGTGCCCGTCCTTCTCATTCAGTGGGCGCCCAAGCAAACTACTACTTTGATAGCGGACCCAAATACTCAAAAGAGTATTTCTCCTCTCCTCATTAATACGAATGTCAGTTCAAGATGCTAACTTTGAAACAGATCCTCACGCAAGTATGTCTCGAGGACTGGTTTCTGTCAGTGGATCTGAAAGACGTTTACTTTCACATTACAGCAGACATGCTGTCCTGGGACAATGTAGCTCCAGGAGAATGGAGACTACATCCCCAAACGGTTCAAATTATGTGGTCTGTCTTTGGGAAGGCAGAGGTGGACCTCTTCGCCTCAGAAGACAACTTTCACTGCCCAAACTACTTTTCGAGACAGCAAAATTCCCTGGCCCAAGATTGGCCCAGCGCTCGCCTGTACACCTTCCCCCGGTTTCCTACAGGTCATCAGACGGGTCAGGGAAGTCAGTTGTTCAGTCCTCCTGGTGGCCCCACTCTGGAGGAATCAGATGTGGTTCCCCGAGTTAATTCAGCTGCTATCGGCAGCCCGGCCTCCTTTTGGCTTTAGAGAGTGGGTTACCTGCAAGCACTGTCAGTGCTTCCTGTCTTGGAAGCACTGCCTAACGACTGTAGAGTTGTCCTCGAACCAAGACACGGCGTTTAGAGCACAAGTCATCACCCTTCTAGCGCTCCCCAATCCAGATGGTGATGGTGAGTCCCAATCTACTCTGCCCAGTTCGGGCTCTTAAAGTGTATGACGAGCACTCTGGCCTGTTTAGACACTCAGAGCAGCGCCTTTGTATGCTTCAGAGGCCGCTCTAAAGGGCTGCATGTTACGAAGCAGAGACTATTAACTATGCATCCACTATCGCTGGATAGTGGATGCAATAGCCTTGGCTTATGCCTCAGCGGGCTTGCAGTTCCCTATAGGTGTGAGGGCCCACTCCACCAGAGCAATGGCCTCTTCCTGGGCTTGGTCCAGCAGGATTTCTATTGGTGATATGGGTTATGTTATGTAGTCCTCAGCCTAAACAGCTTGGGTCTCATTATTGGCTCATGTTTACAGGAGCCCTCAGTACGAGTGCTCCAGGGCTGGGCTCGCAGAGCGGCTTGGTTCTGTACTTGCTTATAGCACGGCGCTATTGGACGCATTCCCCATAAGTGTGTCAATGCAAAGGGAGAGACCATTCAAAAGGGAACGCTCCGGTTACTAACAGAACCTCGGTTCCCTGAGATAAGGGAACGAGCGTTGCATAGGCTGCCGTGCTATAAGGCTGCACGCTAATCGATGACTGTCGCTTCAGTCAAAAGATTCTGACAAAATTGCACTCCATTTTTATGGAGGTCAGCTCCTCCCCTTTTGGCGGGTTGAAGCGCCATTGGTTGGTGCAGCTACACGACGTGAACAAATCAGGCTTCAGTATTAGAGTAAACAGGAGTTTCCCCATAAGTGTGTCAATGCAACACTCGTTCCCTTATCTCAGGGAACCAAGGTTATGTTAGTAACTGGAGCGTTTGGTTGCCGTATTTGTTTCCCAGCCACCTAGTGTTAGCAAGTCTTAATTACTGAAAACATGCCTAAACAGACCTTAGTCATGTTAGACACCATATTGAATTTAACACAGTTAAAAACAGGGGTGTGAAGGATAGATTTACAGTCTTTACAATGGCACATCCTGTATCACGTCTGTCCTGTCCTGGATCACATAATTTTTGCTAATTCACAACTTTTTTATGGAGTTGTTGTATACTGTTATATTCAGAAAGACATTTCTTCAACTAATCAATCAATAGCTTATGTTGTTAAAGAACAGGAAAATCCATTGAACTGTACTTCAATCCCTCACGGCCTCATTCCTGTGATAAATTAAATATGATGTTACCCTGACTAAGGTCTATTATATCATCTACAAAACTGCATAAAGAGACAATCAGAGATAAAGACATCAGAATGTTTATAAAGTTGTGCTGCACGTAAATGATTCAAAGCTTAATCATCATGCTGCATTGTTCTAAACAAATTTGAGATTGTGTGATTGTCGTTCACTTTTACATTCTCTTTTTGGATGTGGAGTAGCCTAGGTGTTCATGAAGAAGATGAAAGTGTGATAACCCGCTGCTGACATGATATTTCATTCTGTATAAAGGAGGATTTATTGTCCTCTTGAGTGAAGATCATGCTGTCTCATTCTGCTATTCACACACAAGGGCATTACTGAAATTCATGGGAACTGGCACTCAAATTTATGATTTTTACTGAGCCCAGTGAGTAGCTTACAGATCATAAGTTAGAAAGAGCCAGGAGGAAACTGGTCAGAGAGGCAACCAAGAGACCTACAGCAACTCTGAAGCAGTTGCAGAAATGAATGACAAAGAGTGGTCATTGTGTGCATGTGACAACAATATCACAAATTCTCCACAAATGGGCTTGTATGGGAGGTTTGCAAGAAAAAAGCCACTCCTCAAGAAAGGCCACATGCAGTCACGACTGAGATTTGCCAAAACACACCTTGAAGATTCTGAGGCAGATGAGACTAAAATTAAATTATTTGGCCTCAACACCAAAGGATATGTCTGGCGGAAATCCAATACCGCTCACCATCTAAATAACAGCATTCCTAGAGTAAAACATGGAGGTGGTAATATCCTGTTATGGGGGTGTTTCTCTGCAGCAGGGTCAGGTACACTTGTCAGGATAGAAGGAAAAATGGATGGGGCAAAATACCATCAAATTTTTGAGGAAAATCTGCTGCCCTCTGCCAGAAAGTTGTCAATGGGAAGAAGGTTTACCTTCCAACATGACAATGACCCAAAGCACACAGCAATACTGACCACACAGTGGTTGAAGGAGAAAAAGGTGAATGTCCTTGACTTGGCCTAGTCTGAGCCCAGACTTAAACCCCACTGAAAATCTGTGGAAAGACTTAAAGACTGCACTCCACGAACGGTCACCATCAAATTTAATGTGCAAAGGTAGTATAGAGACATCCCAACAGACTAAAGGCTGTAATTAAAGCAAAAGGCGGTTCAACAAAATTCTGACAAAAGGGGGTGATCCTTTTTCCAACTCGGTGATTCTGTTTTTTTTTCTGACATGTTGGTGTTATATCTTTCACTTGGATGAGTAAATACAACTGGATAAAATATATCCTTGCTGAATAAATGTATACATTTATTTTTTAAATAATCTTACTACAGTAGTGTGATAGCCTGTGCAAATATGTAACGGCTATTATTGTTAACCACAACTAAAACTAAAACCATTAAAACAAAAAAACATTTATTTTCAATACTTTAAATAAAATGAACTGAAATAAAATAAAATATTTATTTTTGCTAGTTGCCAAGGCATTTCTCTTTTTCGTTTAAGTATTAAAATAACTCAGATTAATTAAAATGTAAAAAATTATGTAGATATACATAAAGACAAAAACACAACAAAATCACTGAAAGTTTAACTAAAATTAAAATGAAAACAAAATAACATCTAATTAAAAATATTAACAAAAACTATAATATATAAATAAAACAACACAGCTAATGACTTGCATATACATATAACATACTTCCATAGAGAATGTTCAGAGTGACTGGCGCACTGAGTGTGACATGCTCTCAGAAAAAAAAAAAAAAGCACAAATCGTCCTGATGAGCGTGGCACCTGTCTGTGTCATGCACCTGTAAGGAATATTGTTAGTCCTACTTCAGTATCACCAAAACATATGCATGCAAACAACATTACTACAGTTCTGTGACATTTTACGTTGATCCCGAGAGTCCTTCTTTTGAAAGGGTGAGGGTAACCGCTGAGATAGCATCTTGTGTGTGCATGTTTGGGGTCTTTCTCATAATAACTGAAAGAACAGTGATCGGGCTAGACTTGACCTTGGAATGGCAGGCAAACACAGATCTAAATGCAAGCACACAGTAATACACAGTGAACTTTAAATGAACAGTGTCTAATAAAAAATCTCGTTGGGGCTCATGTCCCTGTAAGCTTCATTTTGACACTTACACTTTCCTGAAGTCCTTTTCCCTCATTCTCAGTGACTGCTTGAGTCCCTTTAAGCAGTATATGATCTAAGTGAAATGAGTTATGTCTGAGTGTGTTGCAAGCAAGATAATAATTTTAAAAAATGCCATCGGGGACTTGATTACAGCTGTCTGACTTTGTATACCATATGTACATGGTGACAAAAATAGACTAATAGTATTATGTGAAGAATGAATGGACACATTTAGTGTGCACTGTACTTTTTATAACAAAAGAGTTGAACTTCTCTTTCCATCTATATCAAGCTTAATTTTTCCCAAGTTGTCTTTTTTCTTTAATATTTTAAACCAAATATATGCATATATATGCACAACATCTTCATGCATATTTTCATGTTATTATCATGATTCTTTGCCCAGACTTCTTGGTCGAGTTAAAGGAGATCATTATTATGTAATGTAGCTGAGTTGGAATCTGTACTGTTTCCACACACTTGAGTGAGCATTAAGCAAATGTCACTGGACATAGAACTACCACTACAAAATACTGAATAAAACACAATATAGCCTAATAATTATGCTACACATTTAAATAATGGTTTTATCTTGTAAGCAATAAAATAGTTTATGCGAGCTGCTGAGTTTGAGAGTAACATATGCATTATTCCCACTTAAATTTGAATAAGTAAACAGAAATGTTCAGTCAATATTTGATACCCAAGCCAACATATTTTGGACTGACAAAGGTCTATTCTATAGTGTAAATAAATTGCAATTCGATATCGTCCAATAGAGAAACAATTCTGGCCACGGTTCATTTTATCAAACCCAGTCCCTGTCTGTCTCCATGGAGCTCCCGAGCACACTCGGCTCTTTCCTTAGGAGCGGTTTTTGCTTAAGACACTCGGCTCTTTCCCTGTTATAGAGCGGTTAATGATGAGGGTACTCGGTGTAGAGGGTTGATTGAAGCCGAAGTCTCTCGGCTATTTTCGTATCGAGAAACGATTAATGCCGAAGTTACTCGGCTCTTTCCGTACGGAGCCGCGATTGCAGCCGATTCCCCACTCCGCGCTCGCGACTCTAGCACATCACTCATTTAGTGTTGTTTTGGTCTTGACCTATCCTACTTACAAGCTCTTTTCTCTCAATCAAGAAAATGGAAACCGCTAATCAGGTAGAAAATTGCGTTTGTGCATTTGGCAATATCAAATGGAAATTGTGAGAAAGGTCTAAAATGTAGGCTACTGTACCTACTGGACATGTACCTAATCAAACTACATTAAATGACGCTATTGATTATGTTCATTTGTTATTGCAGATTGTGTCACTTGGGACATTACAAGTGCTTAAATTACCTTTGGGATTTATCCGCGTTCTGGAATGGGTAAGTGTGCGTAAAGCACGCGTTTGTCCTGTCAGCTTTTTCTAACTCTCGTTCCTTTACTTTTCTCAATTGGCTCAATAAACTTGGTCCAGGCATGGGGGAGTTTTACTATCTTTTATTACCATCATGTGCTGTAGTCAGTTTTGAATAAGTAGCCTATATGTGGCACAGCCATATTTATAATAGGACCCTTAATCCATTTGCGTATTTCTATTAGCCTATAAGTAGAATCGGTATTGGGCATATTGAACGGATGCATTGCTTATCTAAGTTTTGATAACCATGTCATGTATTTTCAAACATGTAAATTACTCCTCATAAGTGTAAGTGACATTCTATTGATGTCATGATCAATCCCATATACATGAACGGAGGTGTTCGGGTTTATATAATGCACCAGCACTCAATTCATTTTATGGGATTTGCTAAAACTCACAATTTACTGCTGTAAAGAAGCAATTGGTAAATGTAAATAGATTAAATATTAAGACTTGATGTCTGATGTCTGCAGACTTGATGTCTGAATTGAATGTAAACTGTAAATATATAATTAATGATAGATAAGATTTAGCATTTTAGTCGAATCATTGCAGATGAGCTTTTTTTGCTTTCTGCACATGAGGTCTGTCCATGTATAAGAGAGCTGATGTGTTTTTTTGTTTTGTTTTGTTTTTTAACATAAGCAGATGTGTGCTTATAAACATAAACATATGCTTTATTTGTTCCTTGTGTCTAATCCGATATTGGTGCAGTATGAATGAAGTGTGCAGGGACGAGTTCATAACGTGTCACTTGTTTTATACGTTATAGCCATAAACATGGGTTAAATCGTTTTGTACATCCTGCTTGATGTATTAGGATCAATTAATCCTGTTCAGTTAAAAAAAACTTTATTAGTGACTAAATGTCAGTATAGGATGTTTACTTTTTTATTTTTTTATTTTAAATGTAACCCTGTAACCATGTTACTAGAAATTACTGTCCTGCTACTAATTATAGCCTCTAGTGCAGGGTTCCTCAAATCTTACCCTGGAGGGCCAATGCGCTGCAGAGTTTAGCTCCAACCCTGATCAAACTTACTTACCTGTGATTTTCTAATGATCCTGAAGACATTGATTAGCATGCTCAGGTGTGTTTGATTAGGGTTGGAGCTAAACTCTGAAGGAAAGTGGATCTCGTGGGCCAGATTTGAGGATCCCTGCGTAGTGTGAAAACAGCTAAAATGTGTTTTCTGTTGAGTGTGGTTTAGGGAAGTGTGTGTATGACTTGCCATGGTGTCACACTCTGGTGCTCTGACATAATCTGCTTGATGAGACTCTGTATCTGAAAGTTTCTGATCTCTGAAGACATGTCCAGCTTCTGTGTATGTGTGTCCATCTGTAAGGCTTTCTGCATTGTTAGTGCTGGTATGTGGATTTAGTGCCCCATCAGACACTTTGCACAACACAGCAGGATTCCCAGAAAGGAAAATGTTCAGGAAATAGTCTTTTAAAATGGGATGCTATCATTAGCACATGGCAAGACATTTGTGCTGAGTGCTTGTAGCTACAATATAAAAGTTAATTTACTGTGCTAAGAAAAAAAAGACTTAAAAAAACCTACTTGAAATGGCAAATTTATTGTGTTCTGACTTAGTACAGCCTGACTCACTAATAAAATTGCTTTCTCTTTCCCAGATGATAGAATAGAATAGAATAGAATTTTGGTCGAATGACTGAAATATTTCTAAGCCTTTCCAGTGCTGTCCCCTGTTCTCAGCAAAGCAACTGCACAAAATCACAAGGTCGATTGCTAGACCCCTTTTCTGCCATCAAATGTATGGAGAGGTGAAAATTAAAACATTTACAATGGCAACCATAAATGGCTCTGAGCTATGCAAATGTGTGGCATGCATAAGTGGCAACGCCATTTTGGATAATTATTGCAATTGAATGCTGGGGGATTGGAGGATGCGATGCATCTTCTCCTGAGGAAATTAATCTCCCCGCTCTCCATTTAAAGTGTCCTCTGGAAAAAAAATAAAGGAGAAGCTTATCACCGGGAAAACATGCAGTCTTAATCACGTTTGGTCACACAGTGGCTTTTCTCTCTGTGTATCTCTCTCTTTCTCTCTCTCTCTCTGCAGGTCTTTGGTTTTGTCTCTGCCTCTGTAGTTTTTTTTTTATTCCTGCACAGCTGTCCTCTTGATATTTGCCCTCTCTCATTCTCTTAAAAGCCAATATTTGTGATAATGAACCAATTATTGAGCTGTTGAAGTGAGATGAGTCAGTGAGACCAGTGACACATATTAAAATATGCAAAATTATGTATTTTTGGATGAATATTTATTATATTATATTATATTATGTTTCTGAATTATTATATTATGTTATATTATAAAGACAAATACAATACAATACAAATACTCCAAATATTCAATAATACACATAATAATTTGTTTACATAGGTAAGAAGCCTTGAGAAAGATACATTAGTAAGCTTATGAAGACTTTATAAAGTCAGTTTATTTGAAAAGTGCTTTGACCGATAGGCAGAATTTCAACAGAGATGACAGACCACTGAGAGACTGAGCAGACCACTGTGATTCACTGAGGTAAAGCTGACTGACAGGAGGTAGGGTGTTTTACAAATTCACAGAAGAAAGGTTGGTTGACTACATGGAGATGTCTGTCAGTTCACTGGAAAGGCTGACTGACTGTGGGCAGATGTGCTTTGGCTGCCTGTGTGCAGAAATTCATCTGTGAAAGGTTGGCTGTCTCTCCGTTTTTCGATCTTGAGTTTGCAATCGCATGAGGTGCCTGTGTCATGAGTCATGACCCACCTTTTTGTCACATGGATAAGACACAACAGTGGAAAGACTGAAGAGCTAAACCAAATTGTGACATAATGTCCAGTAAAATAAAACAAATTGTAGTATTACAGCTGGAAAAATATAAAATCTTCTGGTAAAATCATAGAATAACCAGTTCTTTTACATGATTTGTGATCGGTTTATGACAAAAGCCAGAGCTACCAGTGTCAACACATAAGCTCCAACCGAGATGAATATAAACAAACTCAAACACACACACACACACACACACACACAATCAAATCTACAGTCGGATCGCATCCTAGTCGGGTGGCCGAGTCTGATTAACGCTGTGACAGTCACCTCAGGGCAGGGGGAGTAGCTTTGGCATATCATGTGACCAAGTAGCCATGGAAACTCCATAGGGAAACAGCAACTGAGGAAAAGAAGGGGGGACAGTGTTTTAAAAATAAAATGAGATTTTATGCCTACTTAAGATCAGTGAAGCATACAAAGAGCACCCAGATACACACGGGCTGTTATAGGCCTGAGTGCAATGTACAGACGGATAATGAGCTCTGGGACCATCCAATGAGTGTTCTACTCATTTCAACACAGATTATTTCATAAAACACTAATTGCAGTTTGCAAGAACATCTGGGAGCTGGAAATTTTCTTCCAGTGATGTACACACTCATAAAATAAAGTATCCAAAAGGGGGGTTTCATAGAGATGTACTAGAATAACCATTTTTGGTTCCTCAAATAATCTTTTTCTTATAAAGATCCTTTTGTGCAATGGTACATGAATGTTAGAAGTTCTTCATCAAACCATCAATGCCAATAAGGAAAAGACACTTGTGTTGAAAATGGTCGGAAAGACATTTGTGTTCCTTTTATAAACTTATTTAGATCCCTTACATGTAGTATGCATTCATCAGGTTATCTGGTTAACGCTAAATCACTGTTGTTAAACCAGTCTGACATCTTGAAAGAAGTGACTGTTACTTCTGTGAGGGAACATGGGATATTTTTATTCCCACCACATACTGGGAATCATTGGAATGAAGCGTGGCATGAATGCAGCGGTTGGGGGATGGAAAGGTTGGCAGCATTTTTATGCGTGTGTCTATATATATATATATGTCTGTTTGTGTGTGTGCATTCAGCAGCATTTTGTCACCTACCAGAAACATTCAGGAAGTGCTCTGCTCTCTGAGAGAGATGCTGAAGTGTTCAATACAGGATGAAAGTGGAGAGGTACACAGACGCATCGCTCTTGAGCGCGTGTTGTGTGTGTGTGATCACCCGTGGGTAAGGGATGAGTGGATGCTATAATCTGACTGATTTATGTCCAATGACAAAATCATTTTAAATGTAGTGTAAATAGGATGACATTGCCTTTTAGAGTTCATCTGTTCTGCAGTATTCTTATCAGCTGCTGTAGTAACATTTCCAGTTCTTCCTTTCTCCTTTCCTATAAGATCCATGGTGCAGTGATGGTATCAGATAGTGATAGTTATGGTAATAGTAACTTTGGAATAGTTACCCAGATAGCACACGTACATCTGCACTGTTTTTATGAGAATCAGAATGAGCTTTATGAGCTTTATCAGAATGAGCTTTATTGCCAGGTATGTTTACACATACGAGTGAGTCAGCAGTAGACTTTTATATTGAAAGAAACTGAAACAGGGTTGTAAACAAAGAAGTTATTTTTACTTTCAGCAACAGCTTGTAAGACGCAGCCAACAAATGCAGTGAGCAGCGCTGTCATCTGAAATCCCCCTTAACAGATGAAAGCACAGTATGACAAAGATATCGCTTTCCTCAGCGGAAATTCAAACTAATGTTTTATTGTGAATATGAGATTGAGCTGAAGAATGAATGCTGTATCAGATGTAGATAATCACACTCTCTCTGTCCATCTCTCTCTCATAATATTGGACTCTACATAATACAGTGAGCTATTAATACAGTAATACAATAAGCTTTCAAAGAAGCAACTCAACGTTCCTTCGTTACTAGTTCTAAAGCGATGTTTTCGAATTAGTAACTGAGGTTTGGGTCAAACTGAGATCTGAATCCATGGCGGAAGGAAGTAGTTCCACACAAAAGAGGGTTTTTAAAGACACTCCGTTGTTGTCTCTTTTTTATTTACACACTTGTGCCGTCAAACTGTTGTATAAATGCAATATCACACTCCTAGC